TTTTTCAGCCTCTTGCAGCACTCCCCAGGGCAAGCGATGGACTCAATCTGCTTCTGCACGAGTGGTGGTGACACTGGGCACTTGTTGGCAGGAGGGGAAGCTGTATTTGGGCACCAGCCAGAAACCTCTGCCCTAAATCCCCCAGTGCTGGATTTCCCCATAGCTTGGCACCATCAGCCCATGAGAGACGCTGTTGCTGGGCAATGTGCAGCTCTTGGCTTTCCCTTCCCTCTGGGAGGATGGAGCTGGGCATGGCCCAGTGCTTCTGGACGCTGTCAGAGGGGGTCACGCTTCCCACCCTGTGCTGGTGGCACTGGGGACGTGGCTCTGGAGGCTGGTTTCTCCCGTGGTGCTGTGGGCTCCTGGAGCCCTTTCCCAGTTTGGCGAATCGCTGAGGCTGTCGGTGCTGCGCTCGGGGACACCTCCATGAGGTGTCTCACCAGCCCTGCCGGGAGGTGTGGCCACAAACTGTCAGTTGCTCTAATTGCCGGTTTGGCTTGCAGCTCCCAGCCCCGGCCCATGCCCTGCCCTTCCTACCTGCCGGCTCCTGTGGGAGGCTGGTGGGGACTGGATGGTGGCCTCCCATGACACTGTGTCACACTGGGGCTTCTCCAGCCTCTTGGCTCCATCCTCAAAAGCCAAACCCATGGGAGTCAGTTCCTGGCTCAGCAGCCTCAGGCCCTTGCTGGGGAAAAAGCTGCTACATCCAACCTCACAACTAGGGTTGGGAAGAGAGACCCCGCTCTGCTGTGCCCCAGAGCCCTCAGGGTGGGAGGGGGCGTGCTGATGGGGTGTCTGCCCTGCAGGGGCTGGCTGGCCTGGTGCTCCCACCTGCGCACCCTCCTCCTGAGCCTGCTCCTCATCTACGTCTCCGTGCCCTTCCTCGTCCGCCTCTTCCCCAACCACATACTCACCAAATTCGTCTTCCTGAACTTCTGTGAGTGCCCCGGGGCTGTCCCAACTGGGAGAGCCCCACCCAGGGATTAAACAAGCAAGCGGATGGGGGGGGGCGGGATCCCCCAGATGGGGGGGGGTGGGATCCCCAAAACGTGGGTGGGGACGCACCCAGCAGCTGGGTGGCACCGGGACAGCACCTGTGCAGCCACCCCCTTTGCTGTGGGCTGGCAGAGAAGGTGCAGAAGGACCTTTCCTTGTGTTTTGCAAGCTGTAGCAATGTGGTGCTGCTGACCCTGTTTACTGCCTGCAGTTGCAACACATCTGGGCAGGCACAGAGTTGGCAGGGCAAGAAGGGCGGGGGGGAGGCGGGGGCAGCGGGGTGTGCTCGCTTCCCCGCTCCCCCTTTTTTTTTCTCTGGCAAAGAATCTGAGAACAAAACCATGGTGCTTTGAAAAAAAAAACCAACATAAATGGAGCTGGGTACGAGGGTTCTTCTGTTGGGATCTGATCAGTGCTGGTCAACAGCTAAAGGGTGGGGGGCAAGAGGCTGGGGCCAGACTCTGATTTTCAGTAGTGCCCAGCAACAGGTCAAGGGGCAACGGGCACTAACTGGAACCCAGGAGGTTCCATCTCAACAGGAGGAAAAAATTCTTTGCTGTGAGGGTGCAGAGCCTGGAGCAGCTGCCCAGAGAGGCTGTGGAGTCTCCTTGTTCAGAGAGATTCCAAACTCACCTGGGCACCCTGCTGTGGGTGAGCTGCTGGAACAGGGGGTTGGATGAGATCATCTCCAGAGGTTCCTTCCAACCCCCACCCCGCTCTGACTCTGTGTTCCTGGGTTGCCTGTGTGATGGCTGCAATTACTCCATCAGTGGCCTTCCCCTTTTTCGTGGACCTTCAGCGACCGGAGCTGCTGCTGAACAACACCATCAACCTGTACCTCACCACTGAGCCGGGCATCACAGTTGGCATCTGGTGAGCAGGGCAGCCCCAGCATCCCAGGTGGGCACAGCCAGGACTACCCCTGGGGTAACCCTGCTCTGCTCCCCCAGGCACACAGTGCCAGGCAGCAGAGGGGCCGAGGCTCAGGGCAAGGACCAGCGCTGGTACGAGGAGGCTCTTGCTGATGCTCACCCCGTGATCATCTACCTGCACGGCAATGGGGGGACCAGGTGAGTACCTGGGAGGCGTGGGGGCCTCTCCCAGGGGAGGGTGGGTGCACCTGCAGTGTCTCTGCGTGGGGAGGGACCTGGCAGCCGGTGGTGCTGTGGGGCTGGTGCTGCTGAGGCTGTTTCTGACCTCACCAGTCAAGGAAGGTCCCTCTGAGTTGAAGGGGAACGTTGAAACCCACCCCCCGTGGAGCATCCAGCTCTCCCCTCCTGGGAAAAGGTCGCCCCAGTCCCTCACCTGGACTGGTGTGGGAGGGGAGGGTCCCTGGAGGGTCCTTCCCCCAGCTCTAACCCTCCTGTCCCCATCAGGGCCGCGAGTCACCGTGTCCAGTTCTTGAAGGTAAGTGTTCCCTGCACAGGGACAAGGACCTCCCGGGGTCAGGCTCGTGCTGGCTCTGGTGACCCAAGAGGGACCCTGAGCAGAGCAAGCCCCAGCCACTCTGGGGGGGGTCCTGGGGTGCATCCCCCCGACCCAGCTCGTAACGTGGTGCCACTCCCCTGACAGACGATGGGGGCTGCTGACTTCCACATCCTGGCTCTCGACTACAGAGGTAAAGTCACCCCCTGACTCTCACTGAGTGACCCCCCAGGGCCAGTCCCCCCCCAGGGTTGTGACAATGAGCCGTGCCCCTTACCAGGCTATGGGGACTCCAGTGGGTACCCCCTGGAGAGCGGCTTCACCACGGATGTCCTGGCACTCTACGACTGGGCCAAAGCCCGGAGTGGGAACAGCAGCATCCTCTTCTGGGGACACTCCTTGGGGACAGGGTAGGTGCAAGGATGGTGAGTGAAGGATGCCCCGTGGGTGCCAGGGCCCACAGCTGGTCCCCAGGCTGCTGCCAGCCCGGTGCCACCCAGGTGGTGGCACCTGCAAAACAAAGCCCAAGCAGGCAAGGGAAGTCTGAGGGTGCTGTGCACATCACTAAGGCAGTGTGGCTGCTTGCCCTCACTGTCACCTCTCTTCTCACAGGATTGCCACCAACGCGGCAAGGAAACTGCAGGAGGAGCGAGGTAAGGGCCAGCGTGGCTGGGCTGGCCCCACACCGTGTCCCCCTGGGGCTCCCCACAGGTTTGGGGGCCACAGAGGAGCTGGGGAGCCTCATCCCTCTGTGCTCGAGCATCAGGCTCGACAAGTGGCTGTCCCCATCCTCCTTACTGGGACAGC